GGGTTCGGTAAGCCATCTTCTTAGTTAGTTATGAGGTAGCATGACGGTTGATGAAGGCGCACTCTAAAATATTTATATTCTATTTTAGCTTATATTTACCAAATATTTAGTTGTAATTTTAATGTATAACAGGAATTAATTTTGACATTTTACTATTTTTGGGATGATACATTGTAACATGTAAGGTTGAAACAACACTGTCACTGACGACAATTCCATCGGACTGAAATGCATCTGGCGTAATACACGCAAATAAATGCTAGCGGTTCGAAAATTTTGTTATGGCTTTCATAACGTCCCTGATATCCTGAAGTATACTTAGATATTTTACAGCATTGAATGACATCTTCTTCTAGCAACATTTCCATTTATACAAGCTGATGTACGAAATTTTACACTTTTCCGATAACAAATATATGAAATGCAGATTTGCGATAATTTGCATTTCTCTCTTGCTTTTATACCGTTATATAATTAGAGGAGTTTCAGCTTCGAAGGAACAAAAATCATGTGTAAAGTGAGTACAGGGATAACGAAATTAAACAAAGAAACTGTGTAAATGGATTTTTAAGATACAGAGTAAATAATTACTCTTAGAATATATCTCAATTTATTTCATATTAGCAGTATTATCAGAATAATTCCATGAAACAACTACAGTCTTAGTTATACACTAATCATCGCCTTTCTGTACGCACTCTGGGCCTGGAAGAAATTCCCCAGCTCATAGATCGTGAATAACTTGAATTTCCACGGTACCCATGCGAATGACAATTAGTTTCCCTCCATTCACGTTCCAAGCGAACATAGATTCCACCTGCAAACAGGAGACTTTAACAAGTACAGTGTCAATTTGCATAATTAACTGATATAATATTTCAAAAAAGTCATCATACCTTGTGGTATGATGTGACTATTCCAGATTGAGTGGCCGTGGTAGCCATGATGTCCGTGCGAATGGCTGTGCATTCGAGTATAAAGGTTTGATGAATCTTCACACGTTCTTCGTGCGAGAAATGTTGCCATCTTACGAGCAGCGTATTCTTCATACTCTCTTTGGATGTCCTGGTTACTGCGGACAGACATTTTTGGATCCCACTGGCAACTCGCTTCTCTAGTGAAGAAATGGCACAAATGAGTCGTGTCATTCAAACATTGTTTCTAAATGATATGACGTGATATATTATAAACAGATGCAACCATCCTTCCACACTCTCTT